ATAACAAACTCTTCAATCGAAGGTGCGTTGATGGTTACTTAATAACACCTATTGTTCACAACACGAAAGTCCAAGAATGGTATATCGATCGTTATGTATATATATACATATATCCAACTTTAACTTACCCTGAGAATATTGAAAACACAATATGTTCATTTCACATCACACTGACATATGAAAATCCATACAGATATAGTACGAACACTATGAGTATATGTCAACTGATACTTCTTCAAGGGTTTCAATACTTTCAACAATAACTTCCTCACAACTCCAAATTGATGAGAGGAGTTAGTGAAACCTAAACAGTCTTAATTCTAAGTTAGAAAAAGTCATTACTTCACAATAACTAGAAATTATCTTCTTCTTAGAACTGCAGATGAAAAGCTGCACGTGATAGCGCAATCTTTGATATCCACACGCCAATCTACACTAACCGAAACAGCCCCTGTGGTTAACCCGTGTCCGCACTCTGTAGGGCAGCCGTGTCTTGTAGACCATTCGTTGCTTCTCCAGTCGAGTCATCATCGTTGACGTCACAACGAGATGGGATGATCCGTGGAAGGAGTTAAATGGTCTTTTGTGAGAACATTACCCTCCTAACTCATTCATACTGAAGTCTTTAACGCGACACTTTTCCTACCATCTGCCTAAACAAAGTGTCTGTGATTTTTTTAGCAAGAACTAATCTTACAATTATTCGTAAATATACCCAGCTATGTCATAACAGAGGACAATTAGCTACAATCGGCATGCATAATTCCTACATCAGGATTAAACAACATAGGGTAATTACTAAATAACACGTTGCAAGCACCATGAATACCTCCTTAATCAGAGTTAAACAACATAGGACAGTAACGGGATAATAAGTTACAAGAGATATGAACAGCTCCTTCATCAACATTAAATAACAGATGGCATTAACTTGGCAATACATTACAAGCGCCATAAAGATTGAATATCTATGCTCTCTACGGTTACCGACGATTCTCATTTAGCTTGAGGAGTTTGTTTGTTTGCTTGTAGTTAAGCACAAAGCTACACAATGGACTATCTGTGCTGTGTCCACCACTGATGTCAAAACCCAATTTTTAGTATTTTAAGTCAACAGACTTGCTACTGTGCAAGTGGGGGTGGGATGGGGGGTAGGGAGGCAGCTCGAGGAAACCAAATATGATTGCAAACAGTGGATTCGGTTTATTTATTCCGGGATATTTCCTTATCCATAAGTTTTCATGAACAATATGCCTTCTATACTTTCATAAATTGTTTAGGGAGCGTATTCATTTTGAGTACAGTGGAATGGGCGGCAAATGCCTGTAATAGAGGACGACGTTTCGAAAGTTTTCCGTCTTTCGTCTTCAGGTTAGTGTGTTAGTGCATCCTCGTGTTCTCTGGTTCTTATCGATTGGGGATTTGTTTGTGGCAAGTCACACAGGAAGTAATGGTAGCAAAATCTGGCATGAAACGTCCACAAGACCTAAAAGACGTCGCATTTTAGGTGCATTGTGTGGAGAG